AAAGGAAACAGCTTAATTTAACGGGTATTTAAACAAGGAATACTTTTAAAAAGGATTCAGAGTCAAATCTGGGGCACAGCAGCCCTTAACTACACCATGAGTTTTGTTTTATTTCCTACACACAGGGTGCATTTGCACAAGAAGTTTACAGTGCAGTTGAATAATTGCACAGTAAACATCTTGGTGTCTACATGTGCAGTAGACACACCTAATAGGGTACACAAAACTGAAAACCTCCACAGCAGGGTAGTACTTGTAAATTAGGGTTACTGTATTTCTAGTTCCAATAAAAGAGGACACCTGTCAGGGAGACACCTCACTTGCAACCCACAGCTCCCTGGCACTGTCAGCTCCGCTCACTCCCAGCCTGCAGTCCCGGATCCTGACCAACATTCCCTCTAAGCTGCACGCCACGCAGCTTAGAGGGAATGCTGCTCCTGACCCACAGAATTGTGGCCCTGCCAGTGCCCCTCACTCCCTACCCACAGTCCCCCAGGCACCCTGGGCCAAGGTGGTGCCCCCCACTCCTGACCCGTAGCTCACTGGTACTGCCAGCACACCACACACTCAGCCCATAGCCCCCACTGCCCCATTGTCCCTCACTTCCCACTCATAGTCCCCCAGCCCTGCCAGTGCCCCTCACTCCTGACCTGCAGGCCCCCTGCTCCCCCAAGCCCTGCCAGAGGGAGTCCCCAGTTGCCCCCACCCTGACCAGATGGGAATGTGGCGGCTGCAGCAGTTCCAGCTTGTGAGGGTGCTGGTGGAGCAAGTCTGGCCCTGACACAGGCTGGAGGAAGGAAGATGGGGGACCTGTGGCACCCCTCACCCCAGGCTGGGGCTCCTGTGCCATACTAGGCTACGCACCCTGCTCCAGGCAGTGTCTCCCGGGTGTCCCATCCCTGTGAGCCCAGGCACCAGCTCCTGGTGTCACCAGCCCAGGTGTGTAGCTCCACACTGTCCCTGAAGGGCCTTCCTGCTCTCTTCCCCTGCTGGAAGGGCAGGTGCCTCCCTCTGGCCCTGTTGTGGGGAGGGGTGTTGCAGCTCTCACACCTAGACACTGTTTCCCAGCACTGGCAGGCACCCCCCCTCCCCAACCACAGTCCCCAAGCCTTGGTCCTCCAACCCCCTCCCCATAGACTTACCTGCATCCAGCTGCTGAGGCTGCTCCTACCACGCTGCCTGGCTGCATGCTGGCCATGTGTGTGTATGTACGCACTTACACATGATGCCCCCTGCCTCTAATTGCCATCCTCCTGCTCCCACCAGTGGAGCAGAGCAAAATCCCACACATTTGTTCAGATTAAAAAAAACCTCCCAGATGGAAATCGGAGAACCCAAAAAGAGGACGTGTCCAGGAAAACCTGAATGTACGGTAACGCTACTGTAAATACAAGTACCCTGCTGCAGAGTTTTTTTGTGCACAGCAGGATATGTGCAGACACTGCCCCGGTCAGCAGGCAACCCGTGCGCCAGAGCACCCTTGGGCCCTAACCAGTCGCTTTGCAGCACGTGGAACCTGGTCAGAGCAGCCCTGGGCTGGCAGGCTAATCTCCTGGGTCTCCTGCCAGCCTGGGGTGTACTGACTTAGCTTCATGTGCTGTGCATGAATAAACTCCAGAGCAATATACTTTGGGGTTTTTTGCTCCCAGGCGCACATTCAAACATCATGCCTAGGAGTAAAAAACTCCAGAGCAAGAGGACCCAGAATTTATTTGTGTGCATTAATTGTATGTGTAGATGTGCCCAGTGTTGAAAATCTGCCTTCAAAGAACAGGAAAAGTAAAGCCAAATGTGGTATTAATTTTGGTTAGAAAATTAATTTTAAACATCCCTGAAAGGTACTATGCAGATGAATTAAGATTTTAAAAATCATTACAGGTCTCCTGAATGACAGAAAACGACAATGTTAAATATATGTATAATATCATCATACTTGATAATCATATTTGTTCTAGTATTTCAATTGCTAAACATTGAATAAAAGTATATTGAGGAAATAAAAGCACTGGGTGACCTCAGACAAGTTATTTCACTGGTCTGCTTCTTTCTAGCTTGCACATTTGGACTATAAGCTCTTTGATGCAAGGACCATCTCTTGCAAAGTATTTGTACTTAATACAGTGGACCCTAATATTAGCTGGGTCCTCTAAATGCTACCATAACCCCAATAGATACTTTTTAAAAATAACATTAAAAATGTCTGTAAATAAAATGTAGATACATTGTACAGAAAGTTGAATATATAGTGGATAATAATTGTCACTAGATCATGTGGGGGGAAAAAAGGAGGGAGAGCTTCTATGTGCTACCATTATATACATATTGTTATCTTTAATTAAAAGACCATATTCTTCCCTTGGCTGAACTAATTCACTCTCCACACACCTCAGTGCTCAGCTGTGAAAAGGATACTAACTGTGTTAAATAAAACATGGCACAGGAAGCAAAAGCCATTGGGTTCTGTGGACTTTGGATCAGATTGTGTGAGAATATGTAAAATTATCTTACATCCTAATGACAGAAAATATTGTAAAGGCAACAATAATTGAAAGAAACAAGTGCTCTTTTGTAGTCAGTACATTTCATTCCCTGTGGACATACAGGTATAGACCCTTTACTGTGTTGGCTTGTGCGTGACCCCATGGAGTAACTTTTACTTTGCTTATCATGCATGCTTCATAGACACTTTGTTGTATTCATTTCGCAGAAAAAATGGTTCAGTCTGAAGTTTAAAAAACTACTAAAAGTCTGATAAAAATTATTCAAGATATAGAACGTTGAACTAAATAGTAAGTTTTTATTTGTAGAGTATGAAGAGTGCACACTACAATGTGCAAAGTCATAAATAATTGTAATATAAAATCTGTATTGTGGAAAGTCTGACGAGCACTTCTCTACACTAGTAGTTCAGTGCGATAGATGCACATATAGAATAGACAGCTTGGACTTTAAATAAAACTTGAAAGCAAGACGCATTCGGGGCAGCCTTCATGTGATTTAAGGATGGATTTAAATAAGCACAGTATGTCTCACAGCTCATAAAAAGAGGGGTTTGTTTCAAGGGTAAGACAGTATAGCATGGAAGAAAGCAAAAGCTGAGACAAAGTTCTTCCCCCTACCCTTCCCCAGTGTTCAGGCATCTGGGCCAGGTGTTTCTATACACTTGGGATCCAGGCCCAAAGGCCCTTGGGAAGGTAAGCACCTACAACTGTTCTTACAAATAACTGAGGAAGCTTCCTGTTTCTCTTGGTTAGGGTGGTGTGATCCCTCTCCTCCAACTTTTTATATAAAGTTTTAGTGCTTGGCTTATACCCTAATAGTTAGAGTCTTTGTTCACGGACACCTCTGAGCCCAGATTCTTCTCAGTTTGAGGGTTCAGATCTACATCTCCTGCCTTATACTGTCCAAACACAGGTGGCCAGACCCTACACTCTTTTTGCGCAGACAGGAGTGCAAGATTGTGAGGGTTAGATCAAGGTTGATGAGACCACTCCATAGCTGAGTGACTAAAGCAGCAACGAGACTCAGCTATATGGGGAGGTTTCTGGTCCCTACTTTCAGATTTATTATTTTTTATCTAAATTGTTTAATGAATAATTCATAAATAGTCCTTGAAGTAAGGGTAGGAATAGGCATCAAGTCTGCCTAAGGTACCCACATCCTTTTTGAGGAATCTGGTGCTAAAGGGCTTTCCTCAAAAACCCTAAGGACATTTACTGTAGAGCTAGGGACCAAACCCAGGTCTTCTGAATCCTAATAAAAGGCCTTAACCCTGAGAATTTCTCTCTTCTATCAAGGATTGTAATGTATGCAGTTATCTCATGAACACAGTTCAAAGAACAACAACATTCCTCATCACAATTTAACAGCTAAATCTGCTGGCTGTATAGGGACAGTTTTCAAAACATCAGTGTCAGTGGCACTATTGAGAAGCTATGAAAAACAAAACTCTTTCATAAATGTGTCACACTTGTTTTTTTTTGCAAAGCAAGGTGGCTCTGAAGGGGTAAACAAAGCAAAGACCTTTTCAGTATCCAGTGTCTTACTTTGGGATAATATATCCATTATCTGCCATTGCATTCTGGGAAACAGGCTGCAAAATCTTTATTCAAAGTAGCTTTCAGAGTATTTTTATCCACCTGGGATATCTTTTTTGGCTATGCTTTCCAGAGTAAAGTGAAACCAAGTTGCTGCCTGTGTCTAACTACAAAATCCAGGGAAAAGGAAGAGCAGAAAATACAAACAAGCTAAAGGAAGATAACTATAAAGAATCCACTCCTGGGAACTTCTGCAAGCACAAGTACTAAGGGAAAGTTTAAAAATTAAAGGATGATTAATATATCCTGTGGGTTTTGTCTTCTATATTACAAGTATTTTTACCATGGAGGTTTTTTGTCAAGTCATTGGCAAGCAGTAAGGGATGCGTTATGGTCCAATTTCTACCTCCTGCTTACTAGTCAGAGGGATTTTCCATTCAACACACCTATAAAACTGTAGTCTTCTAAATAAGAAAATTTGCAAGGCAGTTCTTATGCTGAACAGTCCAGCAGATGTCAGAGAGGTTCTGTATTCCACAAAGCAAAAGTCTCTCACTGCATTAGTGCTTTCCTCACTACTTCACTTGAGATCTGTAGTGAGCTGTTAAGTGTCTCAGTACTTTTTCTTCTTCAGTAGTTTTATATTCCAGCTTATATGATGAACTATTAACTCCTATGGAAACTGAAAAGCTGTTTTAAGTCTGAAACTCCTCCAACCCTGCTCTGGCCCCTGCTTGGCTCCCATGGAAACTGGGAGCTGAGTAGCACCAAGATCAGAGGACTTCCCTGTCCCCTGTGGCCCCCTAGTTTTGGGGTTGACTGGGAGCAAATTTGCTCCTGGTCAAGCATCTACACATGCTACTGTGCAGTAAATGTGCAGACTGTGATGCTTTACTGCTCAGTAGATTAGTAAGGCATCTCATGTAGATACACCCTGGGCGCATCTACATGCACGGACTGTGTAGTTGTTACAATAGGTGAAGTGTTACTTTAAATCCCTGTCTTGGGTGTGAATTTGCACCTAGAAGAAAAGTGGAGAAAGCAGTATACATTTTGACTATGTAGCTGAGCCAGCACTCTTTCATTATTAGTAGACAGTTAAAAACTCCTTAAAACATAACATATATGTAAAGGAATACAATTCATGACCATATTACTAGAGTTGTTAGAGCTAATAAAAGAGTGATCTTGACTGCTAGTAATACTTAATTATTGCTTTGCAGCTCTTCCTTGCATTGTGGGGGAGTGGAGTCACTGGAGTGGTTGTGGAGAGCAGTGTAAACCTAATTTCCGAATGCGTAGGCGCTATGTGCAACAAGAACCTAAAAATGGTGGGGAACCTTGTCCTCCACTAGAGGAGAAGGCTGGCTGCCTGGAATACCTGACTTATGAAGGACAGGACTGCGGACATGATCATGGTAATTTCTCTCTGATTGACCTGTATCACCCTTACATCTCATGACAGTTAAAAACAGCAGCTATTTATTTGCCACAATGACAATAAAGTTGTAGGTCCAGTCTATAAAATACACATTGATTTCAGAACCTCATTTTTTACTTTCATGTAATTTTATAGGTACTTGCATTTTAGAAATTATTCAGTTTTTTCATTTGCATTTGTCTGTCACAAGAAGCAGAGGTTTCCCCACAAGAGTTTTATTAAATTAAGAATTATAGACAAATTATCTTTTGTTTTCTTGACTGAAACCTTTCAGAAGCGTTTGTCCAGTTTCCAGTATATTCTGTTGATCATTTATAGTTTGTCAGATGTGCATGGAAAGCATCCATTATTTGATTCATTAAAAAATATTCTGTGTGCCCCATAACATACAAGTTAGGCAGACCTACGTAATGACAAGTGGAATTACATAATTCAGTGTTTTTTCACTGAGAAATTAATCAGAAAATAAAATTGGGGAAATGCTTAGTAAAAACAAAATAAAATAAGCCTATATGCTACGTTTCATAAAATATTGGAGCAAGGAAATATGCTTGCTGTTTTTCATAATATGGTGATACCATTCTAGTCATGGGCAAGACCTTATCTTTCAGTTAGTAGATTCCCTCTCAGGACTTTCCCCCTTGAAGAGTAAAAAGGTTAATTTCTCTCAGCTGTGAAAGCAGCAGTGCATGGATGTACATTTTTTTCCATCCAAGACTTTTTTCAAGATAGCATCTAACATGTTTTCCCACAGCCAGGGCCCTTAGAGGGAAAGGGATAGAAACAAAACACGGAGAAAATATTCCTATGCTAAGAGTACACCCAGAGCTCTCTAGGTTAATGTGAAAGCATCCAAGAAATTAGCTCCAAAAGGAAAATAGAACTGTGATCCATGTCACTGAGGGGACTGAATAGACAGAAGGATCAAAACAAGTAGTCTTCCCATTTGAAAGACCACTCTCTAGAAGTATGAGACAGTACCAATCTTAATAAGATTTTAAAGTGAAAAGTGTATTTAAGAGCATTTTTCAACCTTCCTTTCCGTGTGGTCACTAAAGGCCATGCCATCCCCAAAAAGCAGATCCAGTGTGCTGGAGATGAGACCAATCAATCACCTTCAGATGGGACATTAGTGCCTGAATAGGTTCTTGGAGCAGGAGTTGAATGGAATGCACCTCTATTTGCACCATCTTCCTAATGGAGAACTGGATGCGAAAAAACATCAAAGGGGTTGCTGTAGAAAAACTGGGAGGAAATCTACAGCAAAGCTTTTGTGGGAAATGAAATAGCCCCGTTCTTTTAGAGCAACTTGCCCATAGGATAGGCCTAGTTGCCTATCTTAGGCATAGGATAGGCTTAGGGAGATCCGTCTCCAGTAAGGCCTAGCATGGTCTATTTCCAGTAAGTCCTTTGTAAGACTAAGCCTTAGCATTGAAACATCCCCTTCCTGTGTCACTGACAGACAATGGAATTCTTTTAGGGTCCACCAACAAAATGAATATGCTTGTATCCTTGCAAAGAAACTGGGCAGTCAGGAACAGTTATTTGATTTTGGTTTGGTGTGCGTGTGTGCGCACGCGCGCACACACACACACACACACCTGAGACCCTTTAAAATGTGGCCTATAAGGTGACACTGTGGGTTCATCTACACATGCACTTTACTGTGGAGTTGCCTAATTAACTCTACAGTAAAGCATTACTGTCTATACATACACCTCCTATTAAGATGCAGTAAATTAATTAACTCTGCTGTAGGATAGTACTGTCCAAGACAAGTACTAGCCTATAGAGGAGTTTAGTGCTCCGAAACACATGTGTAGACTGTGACTGGCTGGGGCATGAAAGTGCTACAGTGCAGGGACTGCCTGTTGGCTAGCCCCACACTGCAGCAGCCTTGTACCCTGGCCAGCCCCTCTGCAGCATGTTGAACTGGGATGGAGCAGCTCTGGGCTGGCAGGCTGACCTCCTGAATCCCCTGCCAGGTGGGGCTGCTCCTCCCCAGCTCAATGTGGTGGTTCTGTGTGCATGTGTAAACACTGCATCCAGGAGCAATCAACTCCAGTACAAACTGCACCAGAATTTATTGCTACATGCTAATTGCATGTGTGGATGCACCCTGTGTTTATTTAAATACAAGTGTGAGGGTATATCCTGCTAATTTGATGATTTACATGAAACGATTAATAGCTTCAGCCTCTATCATCAACAAAAAAGGAAAAAATCCAGCAGTCACACTGGGCATTTTTTTTCAGGACTGAATAGGCATTACAACCTGTTCCAATTCTCCTTTTAGTCACTAATTTGTTGAGAGCAGATCCCCTGCATTTCAAATATCTTTGGGCTCAGTAGTCTAAGTCACTATTTCCAAATCTTTACAGTATGCTCTCAGAAACAAACTTGTCTGAGCCCTACTTAGGATATGCCAACTTTACAGCCCAGTTAGTCTTGGTCCCCTAATCAGTGCCCCAGCTCTCCTGAACTTGGTTGCATTCCCCAGAGTTCTGCCAAGTTCCACCTGGCTTCTAGTTTAACCCTTCATGGAAAATGTAACAGAAAAACACATCTGAAGTTAGCATTTAAGGCTACACAGAGTTGCTCCTGCCCCAGTGGCAGTAGATGTTGCTTCCTCCTTTTAAATACAGCTTTCCCACTGGCTAGTGGCACTCTTCTCACCTCACGCTGGATTCCTATATAGAGTCTGTCATCTCAGAGATGGGCTGGTAGTTGATTTAGTTAATGGCCTTATACCTAGGGACCTACTTAAATTTGTGATTTTGCAGGAGCTGTGAAATCAGGTATTGCCCATAAAAATCAAAAACCTTAGTTAAAATAGAATGCTGGCTCCCCAGTAGGAGGGACTGGGAGGGGTGAGGCTATGAAGGAGAGCAGCCACAATGATGGTGCCTCCCTTCCCTCCCGCCACTGATTAGGAGAAGGCTGCTGGTCATCAGCTCTGCCCCACTCTACCAATCAGTGGCAAGGGGAAGAGCCACACAATGGACAGCCTTCTTGGCCAAACGGTGACGAGGGGTGAATTCACTGTGCAAAAGCCACAAAATTAGCTCCATGGGCAACAAGCAGCTTGTGAAAATCCCTTTCACTTGTCATGAGCATGGATCTGGGTTTTCCGTTTCCCACAGAAAAATGGAGTAGGGTCAGAGCTCAAGTCTGCAGCCTGCATCTACCCCAGGTACAGTTCTGGGAGCTGCAGGGCCCCCCTTCCACCTGGGAGTACACATGGCAGTGGGGAGCCACCAGCAGGGGGTGAGCAGGGACAGGGGGCCGCAGACCCAGGTCCATAACCCTGGGGACTGGGGGAACAGGGACTGTGGTTGGGGGAGGAAGGTTAGGGGCACCAGCAAGGCTGTGAGGTCTGTGGGTGAGAAGTGAGGGGCACCGGCTGGGGGGGAGGGGGCAGGGCTTTAAATTTTAACAAAGGATTTTAGGTTTTTTAGTAGAGAATTTGTTATTTTTTGATCAGGGAAAACCAGGATCCCTGGACATGACTTGGGTAAATCCCTACTCATATATACGTGGGGGCCTTTTTGGCAGATGTTACAAATTAGGGCCCCATACCCTCCCTGATTACTGCTCCAAGCCCCTTCTCCTAGCTGATCTGCTACGCTGCTTCCTATTCTGTGCTCCAAGCCCAGCTTGCTGCCGTTTTCTGCTTCTTGCCAGTGCTGGATGCCTCCTCCCTGATCTGCCACATGCCACACGCCACACCAGGAGGCTGCCTGCCCATGCTACTTGTGGCACATATACCACAAGTTGACCACCTGTACCCTGTAAGGTGGTCATAGTGTTTTCTTAGAGTCATTTGGTGCAGTGTTTCCCAACCACTGTGCCGCAACACGAAAGTATGCCGTCAGAAATGAACAAGTATGCCAAAGAATTTTGCCATGGCAAGGAGCTACAATAGGTATGAGGTTGGTGTGCCACAGAAAATTTTTATTAATGTAAGTGTGCCT